AATCAATTGAGCTAATGTCGTGATTTTTTTGTTGCATTTTGGATTTCGTTTTATTCAAAATGCACGTCATTTTATTGGCACTGATGATAATTTCTAGTTCAATTTGAGATATTTATTAAACTGGTATTAACTCCACATACGCAATTCGCTATTCATTATCTTGGCACTAAGCTAGGCAAATTAAATATAAAAATTCTATAGCATGTGTAACGATGAAGTCGTGCTCCTATGTACAACAAATAAACTGACTAGTTAGGCATTAGCTAATTCCTAAGCAGAAGCTGAAGGATCGTCATTATGAAGAACAAAAAGAACTGTACAAACGAAAAATGGTTAACCGTGATTTGAGACGCTGAGGTATATCATGGCAAACAATATGCATACTCGTGTTTAAAATTCCGAATCAGTAGGAATTTTTGCGCTCCATTCGAAAACTTTCAGTGGCCTCACGCGAGGACCGCAGCAATTCGCTTTCGCGGCTTATGCGGGAGCTGCGACCGGGTACCGGCAGCGGAGTACGAGATGGAGCTGGAACAATACGAGTTCTCGTAATGTATGATTCTCAAAAAAAGCTGGTGCTCGGACTTGTTATTTGCCGTCGTTGCCTTTCCAACCTTTCCCTTTGTTTTGGGTCCACATAGAGTTTTTCAAAGTTACGTCTGCGCTTATATGTCACCACCCCAGACCTGAACTCCTTTGAGTTAGCAAATATATCCTAACTGTGTAACTGACTTACGTGTCAAACTTCGGATTGTTTTTGTAATCAATAAAAACTAGTACGGAACAGGTGCCAAGTATTCCGACAAGAATCCCTACCACAATTAGAAGAATGATTAAGTAGACGGGAAGCGGTTCCTCCAAAGAAACCGATGTGGCGCTCTGAAAAATAAAAAAGGGTCAAAAACTCAACTTTCTACATCGATATTGACGTACATTCATTTGCTGCAGATTCTGCGGCAAGAGGTCGGTAAGGTCCTCCGAGAAAATTGATCCGTCATCAGCATCTACTCTCTTCAGGAAGTAATTGTTATTGAGTATGTTCTCCTAAAATAGTAAATCAAAAACTTTTACACCGCAAGTGCTCGGAAGTCTTTAGTAAGTGAAAGT